GGCTTTTCATTACTAGGCCATCATCTTTGCTTGTACCACTCCCCTTTCCTGAGTATCCTCTTCATTCTTTTCAGTCATTCCCTTCCCTCCTTCAGAACTGATTTTATCCAAGAGGTCTAACCCCAGGCTAATCACTTCTTATTTCCATATTCTCCTAGACCAAATTCATCTAATCTATTAGCCTATCTAGTTTATAATGCATTATTCTGTATTCATTTGTGAGTAGCATTTGTGGCTTTGTAATTGTCTTTTGTTTTCATGATTTATCTTTAAGGTTAAATAGTAAATTCCTCAAGGACAACTGTATCTTCTACTTTTCTGTTTGCATTCTGTGTTCTTATGGGCCTATTATGCAATAGCATCAAGGTAGATATTCACTAATAGAAAGAGGTAGGGGCTCCTAATCACCACTGCTGTCTTGGGGCACCACACATGAGCTTCCTTATGTATTCCCCCTAGATGAGTAATAGGAATCAGAAAACTGCTGCTATTCCTAAGTGAACCCAGCAGAGGATAAAAGTGAATTATAAGTAACATTTGTACTTTAAAGCTTATATTTGTTAACCCTTTCAACAACTCTATGAGGTATATGATATTATTTTCATTTTATAGATGAGAAATGGAAGTTCAGAAACATGTCTAAGGTCACACAGGTAGAAGGTAGCAAAGATGGTGTTCAGGCACGGGTCTGCCACCTCCACGTCCACTGTTTCTACTGAGCCAGGGTTACTGTGCACTGGGTCACTGGAGGGTGTTGGACTAACTGCATTCCTGAAAGTTGTCTGATTGTGGCTTACCACCCTTGGATTTAGAGCTGGATTGATCCAGTCGAGTGGCAGGATTAGGAGAAAAAATACTAGTCGACTATAGAAGTGCGGACCGATGCAGTATGTACATGGATGTGAAGATATGCTATAGAATATCATGTATATACTATAAGTACAATGTATTTGTACTATATAGTGTTAAAGTAAGATTAACTAAAAATGCTAACATGGTAGTCTACTAAGTAGATATTTAAATTATGTTCTATTATGTATTTCCCTCCATTTCTAATTTTTTTTTTTTTTTTTGAGACGGAGTCTTGCTCTGTTGCCCAGGCTGGAGTGCAGTGGCCGGATCTCAGCTCACTGCAAGCTCCGCCTCCTGGGTTCAGGCCATTCTCCTGCCTCAGCCTCCCGAGTAGCTGGGACTACAGGCGCCCGCCGCGTCACCTGGCTAGTTTTTTGTATTTTTTAGTAGAGACGGGGTTTCACCGTTTTAGCCAGGATGGTCTCGATCTCCTGACCTCGTGATCCGCCCGTCTCGGCCTCCCAAAGTGCTAGGATTACAGGCTTGAGCCACCGCACCCGGCCTCTAATTTTTTTTTAACTTTCACTTTTCTAAACAAAAAATTAATCGTATTATCCAAAGCAATAGATTATTTGTTATCTTCAAAATAGAGCTGATTGAAGGATAGAAGAGATCTAAAGGTGAGAGAAGAAAGTGATTTTACCAGCAGGCTCAGGTGGGTCGAGCCCAGTGAGGCTCGATCACTGCATCTCTCTCCTGATAATGAGGTCACATGTCCCAGGCTATAGGCCATTGGAGCTTCCAGAGTGGCATACTCTGCCCCTGTCCAATTTTAATACTGCTGGCAGAGGCTGGCAATGATCAGAAAAAGAACCAGGTCTTGTTTGATAGGTCTAAGGAACTACTAGCCCAGTTTAAAAGCCACCCTACACCTACTGAATAGCTAAGAACATAGGCAACCAAGAAATAACCCGGGTACTGAGGCCCCAGGTTGGATTTAAAGTGTTCCAGGTCACTTTATGGTGCTCCCAGTCTCCACCCTTCCTCCATTGAAGGAGGTTGGACTGATGTTGACCCAAATTTGAGATTCAGATCTTGGAGCACCATTATGTCCTGAGAAAAGAGTATAGCTTTGGAGTGAAAAAGCTCTGCGTTCAACTTTTAGCTCTGGGACCCCAGGCAAGTTACTTGGCGACTAGATCTTGGAGTTATAGATTTGTAAAAGGAGAATAATGTCATGCACAGAGGATTCTTGTGGAGATTTTACTAATTGTGTAAAGAACCTGGCAGAGAGAAAAAACTTGATACACTGGTCTCCCTCTGCTTCTCCAGCACACACCCTTATCACTGTTCCTAAGTTAGCATGGCAGAGGAGGGTCTGGTCTTAGTGAAGCCCAATCTCAACCAATGAGGTGGCTCTGCTGCAGTGGCACACCTGATGGCAAGCTATGGCAGCACTTACAGCATAAGAACTTATTTGACATGGATCAGATCTTTACCAGATTTGTATTTAATAAGTTAGAATCACAGTCTGAGAGAGGAGAAATGAGAGGAAGAATGGAAAAACTAATAAATGATTATAAATTAGAACCTCTGAGAGAACTTAAAGAAATTGTCTCTTACTTGGAGAAAAGAAGATTGAAAGTAATTTAACAACTCTTCAAGACAATGCATGAAGGATAATCAGCAGGATAATGGCCCTAAACCCCAAGGCCAGAAAAAGAGAAATGAGTTGAATTTGCATTAGAGAGGGAGGGAGAAAGACTAAATTTAAGGCAAAACTTCTCTAGAAGAATATTATTAAACACTGGGATAGGTGACCGCAGAAGCCTATGGAATTTTCTTTCATGCAGCTCCATAAAAACAGAGAGCCCCTGTTTGTCTGGTTTGTGAGAGGTACTGACCCTGCTCCAGAAATCTGAGGTAGTGGGGCAGGAGGGAAAGGAGATGGAGAATATCGCAGAGATAGTTCTTGAGCCCTGGAAAATACAAGTTAAAGCTCTTGGAAAGCTTTCAGGGAAAAGAAACAACATTCATCTTTGACTAGGAAATAGAATCTGAATGCCAATGCAAGAAAGAACATGCGGGGTGGGGAGAAGGTGCGGGCAAAGGGGAGGAAAGGAGGCGATCCATTTTGTTTCCACATTGCAGGCACCACTCCACTCCTAGTGGAGCAATCCTAAATTTCTTTCTGTGGGCCTCAGTTTCCTTTCAAGCGCTTAGATTAAGCACTCTCTTGAGTCTCATCCAATCCTGAATTTGTGTTTACAAAACTGATCCAGAGAGTGTGAGTAAATCTGTGAAGAGCTACTTCAGCCCCAAACCCGGTGGTGTTGGGTGGATTGGTCCTGCACAGAGGGACAATGCACCTGCCTAGGCGAAAACTGGGGCTGGGCCAGAGTCATAGGCTTCAATCCCTGCTTTTCAGCCACTAGCAAGTTGTTCATCTTCTCTGAACTTCAATATCTTCATTTGTAAAATGTGGACAGTAATAACTCCTTTGGCCGTTTTGAGTTTAAATTAGATAATGCAAGTAGAACAAGTAGTACAATAATATCTAATAACTCCAATATTCAGGAATATAAGTACCAATAAAATGGTACCTATTGTATTAATAGAATTTGGATGAGAATTTTTAAGCCTTTTTATTTCTCATCTTTTCATTTCTACCTTTATTGGATTTGTAGAATCTATTACAGTCAAATCATATAGTTTGGTGTTGTGGTGGTGATATTTTTTGTTTGCCTTTAACACACTTGCCTTTACTTGTTTTGACAGAAGGGATCCTAATTCATTCAGCTTTCCCGAATGTCGTATAAAAACACATAACACATGTTCACGTTCCTAGTTGTTTCTACATATTCTCTGCTCTTTTAAATGTGTAATATAGAAGCAAGTAATTATTTAGCAGTTCCGATGGGCTTTGCATCATTTTGGCATTCATAGCAAGCCCTCGTTACTGAGATATTTGTGGCCCCTCTTTAACATGGCCAGTCAGGGTTCCTCGGTATTCTGCTGATGTCACCATTTTAGCTACCCTTCTCTGCATATTGACCTATCCCTTTGCAACTTCATATTGTCGCTTTTAACAGTGTTTCCAACTTAAAACCCCCTATTTGACTCTTCAAAAGGCTAGACTCCCCACCCCCAGTTTGACACCAACAGGCAGGCTGTGGGATGTGCACCGGGTTGATACAGAACCCAGCTCCACCAAGCTGAAAGGGCGCGTCGCCTGGGCCAGGGTGGGGCACCAGGTTATGAGCGGCCTCCTGCCTTTTGGGTTTGCTTCCCCGCAGGGGACACCGTAGGCGGCTGTGCGGTCCGGTCACTGC